AAGCCGCTCTCCAAGCAAAGGGTCGCGGGGAGGCGATCGAGAGTCGTGGACTCTGAGCGATTAATTGATTGGGTACGACCTCATCGCTTTCTATTCGATATGCGTGACCCTGGTTTCAAAGGCACGCAGTTAAAAATAATCGCATTCGAAAGAGCACTGTGTCTCGGTCCCTCAGCCTGGGAACAAGGTTCGCCGTGTACCCGTCGGTGTCTCGGTGGCGAAAGATTTCGCGCACCCAGGAGGCTCTTCTGGGCGTTAAATCGTCCACACACATATGCACTAATCACGTATCTAAGAGCATTTGTCGCATTTCTATTTCGGCATCCCACATGTCTGCCATGTTGCTTCGAATGCACACCCAACCACAGCAACCGGAACCGCAGTGCACGCGCTAATTCGCAGCACCGCGGTACAAGAAGCGCTACTGAAGCGCTAACACGGCGCTACTGAAGCGCTAACAAGGCGCTACTGGAGCGCTAACAAAGCGCTACTGGAGCGCTAACAAGGCGCTACTGGAGCGCTAACAAGGCGCTACTGGAGCGCTAACAAGGCGCTTCTGGAGCGCTAACAAGGCGCTACTGGAGCGCTAACAAGGCGCTACTGGAGCGCTAACAAGGCGCTACTGAAGCGCTAACAAGGCGCTACTGGAGCGCTAACAAGGTGCTACTGAAGCGCTAACAAGGCGCTACTGGAGCGCTAACAAGGCGCTACTGGAGCGCTAACAAGGCGCTACTGGAGCGCTAACAAGGCGCTACTGGAGCGCTAACAAGGCGCTACTGGAGCGCTAACAAGGCGCTACTGGAGCGCTAACAAGGCGCTTCTGGAGCGCTAACAAGGCGCTACTGGAGCGCTAACAAGGCGCTACTGGAGCGCTAACAAGGCGCTACTGAAGCGCTAACAAGGCGCTACTGGAGCGCTAACAAGGCGCTACTGAAGCGCTAACAAGGCGCTACTGGAGCGCTAACAAGGCGCTACTGGAGCGCTAACAAGGCGCTACTGGAGCGCTAACAAGGCGCTACTGGAGCGCTAACAAGGCGCTACTGGAGCGCTAACAAGGCGCTACTGGACCGCTAACAAGGCGCTACTGGAGCGCTAACAAGGCGCTACTGGAGCGCTAACAAGGCGCTACTGGAGCGCTAACAAGGCGCTACTGGAGCGCTAACAAGGCGCTACTGGAGCGCTAACAAGGCGCTACTGGAGCGCTAACAAAGCGCTACTGGAGCGCTAACAAGGCGCTACTGGAGCGCTAACAAGGCGCTACTGGAGCGCTAACAAGGCGCTTCTGGAGCGCTAACAAGGCGCTACTGGAGCGCTAACAAGGCGCTACTGAAGCGCTAACAAGGCGCTACTGGAGCGCTAACAAGGCGCTACTGGAGCGCTAACAAGGCGCTACTGGAGCGCTAACAAGGCGCTACTGGAGCGCTAACAAGGCGCTACTGGAGCGCTAACAAGGCGCTACTGGAGCGCTAACAAGGCGCTTCTGGAGCGCTAACAAGGCGCTACTGGAGCGCTAACAAGGCGCTACTGGAGCGCTAACAAGGCGCTACTGAAGCGCTAACAAGGCGCTACTGGAGCGCTAACAAGGCGCTACTGAAGCGCTAACAAGGCGCTACTGGAGCGCTAACAAGGCGCTACTGGAGCGCTAACAAGGCGCTACTGGAGCGCTAACAAGGCGCTACTGGAGCGCTAACAAGGCGCTACTGGAGCGCTAACAAGGCGCTACTGAAGCGCTAACAAGGCGCTACTGGAGCGCTAACAAGGCGCTACTGGAGCGCTAACAAGGCGCTACTGGAGCGCTAACAAGGCGCTACTGGAGCGCTAACAAGGCGCTACTGGAGCGCTAACAAGGCGCTACTGGAGCGCTAATCGCGCGCTATGTTAGAACTAAGTCACGCGCTAGGAAGCGCCACATAAGCGCTCCTTGTAGCGCTCACGGAGCGCTCACGGAGCGCTGTATGTGTGAACAGGCCTTTATTGAAAGAGCTGAAATTTTGTCACTCAGATTAGTGCCCCAAACGAGCTCTTTATTCCACACCAATAGGCTGATGTCAGCCCCTCGTATTTAAGGTGAAAAATAAAAAAACAATATTGATTGTGCCCGCTAACAGTGTCGCGTTGTGTACATAAACACCAAGGTTCCCTATCACAAACCGAAGCATACGAAGAAGAAAGGACTCATTTCATTGAGGGAAAAAACAAAGAGATATAAATGGAGCACTCACTTTCGCTAATTTTCACTGTCTCGATGCCTAAAGTAACCAAACAAAATATCTGTCCGGTTGCCGACTGCTTGGGTCTTTGGTCTTTAGCCTTTAATTTTTGGCTCAGGAGAGCCGCGGCACCGCGGAAAGGAAGCAGCTCGTACTTTAGCCCGTACCACCGAGGCCCGCGGTGCCGCGTCTAGGGAAAATGAGTATATACGTGCAAGATGACGACGACTTGGGTTGTTAGTATTGGGGAGGATGGCAATCCGATTCGCACAAGTCCAGACTTCGTGGAGGCGGGTTGGGCGGGTGAGCAGCGAGCCATGAGGATCTTGCACGCCGTTCGATTAGTGCATGAAGGAGCACCAGGAACATGATGGCGCTGTTGCTCACTGGGGTTCACAGGGGTCAAAGCATCATGCTTCAGGGAGGTAGCCCAGCCAAAGTAGAACATGCCGCCTCCGAGGAACCGAGGCCCAGGGCTCAGATTGAGGCACCGCCGTCGCCCGGTGTGTCATCCTCTCATCGTCGTTGTCGTTCATCTCGCATTAAAAAAAAAAAAATCGAGACCTCCCACCGTTCAGGGGCCGTGAAAGGATTGCGGCCAGCGATTTCTCGAAGCAGCCAGAGGTTCTTGACCACCGTGAAACGTTTTCTGGAGGGCGCCGTTTCAAACAAAGTCTGCGCAGCCATCTTAGTGCAGCGAGGTTCATAACGGTCAAGCGCGCTCCTAAGCATGATTTCAAATGACGAGCACTCATTTCGAATTCCTTTCCAGAAAAACACCATCTAGTGAACCTTTACTGAGAGTGGAACGTGATTCTCAAAATGTCGACGAAAGCGGAGCTGACGCTTCACGATCAAAGCCCAGAGCGGGTCGCGCATGCGCGATGGTGACTCCGCTTTCCATAGAGCGGAGCGAGAAAGCGAAAACGATCAACTAAAACTCTCTAATTTCTAGGAGATGCTCGTCCTCAAGCGCGAGGTACACTGCCTTTGAGAGCGCTTTGGAGCACGCGCAGTGAAAACCCCACGGAAGACAACAATCACGTGCTGGAGGCGAAGCAACTGAACTCCGTTTACCCTTAAAGGGCCCCTGAAAAGAAAAAAAAAGCTTTTTAAAAACAGTCTGGTTGAGACACGCGTGTCAAAAAATGAATTTTACGCGAAAAAAAAATTTTTTTAGAGCAATATTGACTGCGCCAGACGCAATTTAGTCGGTAGTCACCTCCTTTCCACCTTTCTCTCTCTCGGCACTTCGGGTGCGTGGAGGAGAGGTAGTCCCCGCCTCTTCGTAGTGGATCGGCTTGGCTGCCTTCCTGGCTTGGCTGCGCCCCGCACGAGAGCCATTGCTACTTCCTGGCCGTGTTCCAAAATTGACTCGATGTTACCCCAGGGTAAGGGTTTTGTGCCCTTGGCGTTCTAAAACCTACCCGCGTACAGCGTTTTTCAATCTGTGCTGTCACGTGATACGATCCGCCGGAGAAACTCGGATCCATTTGGAGATTCGGAACACAGCCCCTGGCCGGCTGTGTCTGGCGGTCGCACGACGTACCGCGTCGTATCGTGCACGTACCGTGGTCACCGTGGTCGTACACACAGTACTTAGTCGTCGCGGTGGACCCCGACCTGAAGCGTCGGTTGCTTCAACGCTGCTAGCAGCTGGGCTTTCGCTTGTACGAGGACACGCCTCGCAAGCCGGAAGGCGTCCGCTCCGATCGCCGCGAGACAACCGCTCGCGAGGCACCCGCTTCGCCGGGGCGAAGCGGGTGCCTCGACGAGTTCGTCCGAGTCGCACGATCCTTCAAGCCGCCGCGAGGACACGCAGTGGTAACTGATTTTTTATTAAACGTCGAGTGCGGTGCCCGCGTGCCTCGCTAAACTCCCTTTACGGGAACCGACATCTAAACAAAAATTGGCACTGGCGCGCGCCAGAAAACAAACAAAAGATGGGGTAAACGGGACACACGAATCGCGCAAAGAAGAGCAGAAAAACATAAACCTGTCACCCCGCGCCACTTATTAAGTACTTACGATGACTGACTAACTAACACAAGCAACAAGCCCTCTTCAGAACGCGAGACGCGAAGACGGCGACCATGAGAGAAAACAAAATGGCGAAGCTTTTGTTTGTTGTTTTGTTGTAGTATCCGAACGGAAGTTACGATTTTGTAAAACGTTTGTAAACAATTGCAACATTCATTAGATGGATTGTTTCTTAAACGTAAAAATATGTAATTCAAAGGGCGATTTCAAGAGATCACGAAGATTTTATAACCAACATCTAAGCGTCACTCATTCTATTGGCCAATGAGAAGCCGATTTGAATGACCATGGTTACCAATGAGAAGCCGAGCTGAATGACCTGGAATTTGCGCGCAAATTTTCAAATAAATCTCCCGCCGTCAATATTGCTCTAATTTTTTTTTTCGCGTAATATTCATTTTTCGACACGCGTGTCCCAACCAGACTGTTTTAAAAAAACTTTTTTTTTTCTTTTCAGGGGCCCTTTAAGCTGAGACTAAAAGCTCCGTGCTTAGCGAGAGCTTTCTGCTCTTGCTAACGCAAGTGTGAGCGCGCAGGCAGGTGCAACTAAAGCACTGCGGAAGCCAGCGAGCGCGCGCTGAAGGCGGAGCTTCTGGTCTCAGCTTAAGGGTGAACGAAGTATACTAGGTTTTCAACCTGTCACTGACAATAGACACGGCCTATTGTGGGTGGGGCTTGCCGTTTGTTTGTTTCTTTTTTTTTTCTTATAAACCTATAAATTGAGGATCTCATGTACAATCGAATGCCGTTCTAAGCCAGCGAAGACCGACGAGTCACAATACAAGCATGTCTCTCCTGCCCTGTTTATTAGGCTGCCTCTTCATGATAGAAGCAATTGGTGGCGGTGCCGCCGAAGATTTGGATGAAACGAAAGATTCCAAAGACGCATGGAGGGTGAGAAGGCAGTTCATGCTCTTTTTTATTTGCAGAGAACTTTAGTAGACCTCTCGTTCTGCTCCACTGCTGCATACGCTAGGACTCGGGTAAATTGATAACAATTTTAGCAGACCGATCGGCACTGACTTTGGAAGGACACGAAAGGGGACGCACCCAGTGCCCCCAGTGCCAAGTCATTTGCAACTGATGTATCTAGAGGTTCGTTTCCTTTTTCAGGTTAGCGCGTTGGTATAGTGCAAAAAAACTTAAGAAAGAATTACGCAGAGAATAGAACAAGCACAGCACATCTTTGGACTTTCAAGTCTTGAGACTCGCTTTCCGTGTTCTGTTCTTCATTTGTAATGCTTTCTTAAGTTTCTGTAATATTTCGTTGCAACATATAAGTTTAGGAAGATGAAACGGCTCGTAAACTATTTTAATAAATAGATCGTGCCTCGAAGGTTTTTAACTTATTTTTAACTTTCTTTAACGTTTCTTTGACAAGGCGACGAAACTAGCAAAATGCTGACGTTGTGGTACCAAATTTAAAGCGTATTTTGAAAAAAACAAAAAAAAAAAGAAACATTTATAATGCTATTTTGCATTATGTATATACTTTATCTTTTCTTTGTTATACGAGTATCAAAATTCTTGTTTTTGTCACTCACGCAATGTTGAGAGCTCCAAAACCAGGATATCCGCTTTTGTCATTGTATAAAGTTAATTGAGATTACGATCAGCAAGAAACGTACGCTGAAGGGGATTCTAGAAACCAAATAATTGTATTTGTGTTGAGAGTTGCCACTATGGGCGTCTGGTATCTTCGCTGTTGACTTGAAATTCAGTCAGTGCAGTACCACAACACGCTTGGGGTTTTGAACGTGCATCAGACTGTAGTGATACCCGGCGGCATGTCGGTACGGTGTTTATTTAGATAGGAACAGGCAGAGGTGGTGATTGAACTCAGGACCTTTGAGTTCTGGAGTGCGAGTTTTCACTCTACATGGGCGCGTCCGGAAACCAGATACCGAGCCCTGGCTTCTGCAGTAAGCGTTTACTATGCCAGAGCAGTTCACTCGCAGTGGCGACCATACAGCCTACCGTGCAGTACCCTACGTGCTTGAAAGGTGCACTGAGACATTTTACGGCGAACATTCAATATCGGGAAGCGAAGTACGGTGAGCTTGACAGAGACAGATACTGTTTCGGCCGCTCCACTCGCTCGAAATAGGATTTTTTGAACGCTTCCTTCAGGTGTAGTTTCAGAAATTGCAGCTTCTATGTATCATAAGCGGCCATAATTCGCGGTTGGCAGTACCACTAACAAGAACATATTCGTTTAAAAAAAATATCGCCATATTAGAAGAAAACGAAAATGAGGTGCTCACGTTAACTTCACATTACTTATGAAGAGATATATTTAGTTTACTAAGAACATAATATATATTTTGGACATAGCAAAAACACCCCGAGACTGGGAAAAAGAAAAGGCGCACAAATACAGAGCTCTCAGACACAGCTGAACTTATTTGAGAAAGGTTTGTGTTTATATAGACTTCAAGAACCCATGCAAACATGAAATAAATAAAAGAACAAAATAACTCCTTCTACAGGAACACAAAAGAACAGTGACCACAGATAGGAAACGTGAACCATACATAGAACGAAGCAGCACTTCCAAAACTTTCTCCCTTTGTAAAAGCGCACACAAAACAAAAAACGCACAGAAACACACACACGCGAAAACAACTTTAATACTAAAAAATAGGCCTGCCTCTCGTTTAACGAAGTAAGGCCCGAACTTGAAAGGTAGAACCGAAGTGAGGGGGCGAAATGACCACGAACGAGCACATAACAAAGCACGGTATGACGGAGGGTGAAACTTAACCGAGACAAGGCGATCGAACTGGGCAGAACCTTTTAAGTTCTGTGTATAAACCTAGGGAAGGTTTGTGTACTGTATTTCCATAATTCATAATAGTCATAAACGTTTTTTACTATGTGTTTATAAACGTTTCTCTTCGTCAGTACCACCGACGTTAACATGCCAGAAAGGCGCACAATTTTTACTTTCCGCTACATGCTTTGTCACTTCCGAGAAGGATCGATCCTCGTTCTTGATACAACGTTTGTGCTCGGTGAGGCGATCACTGAAACAGCGCTTGGTTTATCCTATGTAACATAAGCCACACTCAAACGAAGTCTTGTAGATTACTCCCAGCACGCAACCAACTTTTTTTTCTTTGTGTGTGTGTGTGTGTGTTTGGTTTTTGTGTACAATCAGTTTGGGGAGACACAAGTGGGGTCACTCGACTCAGCATAAAGCATTTTTGAACACTGTCCTCACGCCATACTTGTTAGCAACAAACTTAAGATTATTCAAAACTCGATGGTAGAAGGGGAGTACAAGGCGCTTTGTAGGTTTCACAATTTCCCCGCGACTTTTCTTAAACGAAACGAGGAATAACAACCGCTTGAAAAAGTAATCCTTAGGGTATCCAGCCGCTCAAGAAAGGTCAAATAGGTGTTGAAGAGAAGACCCAACGGAATGAGAGCAGGACTTTTTCAGTGCGCTACTACAACATTCTTAACAATGCTTTTTTTTTTATTTAGTGCCAGGTTCTAAACAGCAACAGCGGTTTTGTTGTTGGTTTTCCGTATGGCCAGCACACTGGGAAGACACTTCAAATATAGATATCAAAATTGAAGGAAAGCATTGCTCGGTTTCTCAATAAAAGAACTTCAACTCTGAAGAACTTTCGTATACAGCCTTCTTCAGTGATGCTGCCACCGTAAAATTACTGGAAACCAGGAGGTCGTCTACATAGCCCCTTACAAGGACTTCGCTAGGGGAGCGGTTACGGACGAGAGCATGCAGCTGAAGATCCATATAACTTAGATAAATCTCCAATAAAACTGGACCAACTATTGAACCGATGCAAACTTCCTGTTTCTGAATGAATTCCCATTTTCCGTACCGAACGAGGGTTGCCTGCAAATACAACTTTAAAACATTGAGAAAAGAAAATGAGTGAAAGCAGTGATGGCAAAGCGAACAAAATTGCCCCGCAAAAATGTCCAACGCGAGCGAGTAAAATCTGAAGTTCTAATGAGTAGTAAAGGTCTTTGAAGTCCATTGAGAATAAGTTCTGTTGCTTCCCATGGAAGGGCTGTAACTTTGTAATAAGTCATCTAAACAACGCATGGGTAAGGGACTGCCGACCTTCAAAACTGTAAAAGCACTCCGAAGGAAAGATGAAGCATATTTCCGCCATGTACCGTTTCTCCACAACTTTGACAGGAAGGTCTCCTTTATAATCTTAAGAAAAACTTAAATCCAAAAGTGTCTCTTGAGATACCGTTCAACCCGGAGACCTGCGACGAAAATTCACTATATTTAAGGATGCCGATGATGCCGCTATCATTGAGAATGCCACATACCTCGCAACGTATGAATCACTGCGGATTTCTTACTGTAATAGTCTTACTATATTCTCTGATATATATTGAATCAAGTGCAAGATAGTGATTATTCCGCTGGTCGAATTGTTTCTGGTTCAAGCGTTTCTAGAAAAAAGTTAAAAAGTAATAAGTTGAAAGTTAAATAAAGTTATACCACATCGGAGAGACCGGTTAAAGGCTAAACTGGAACGCCAGTGTGGAAAGGCAGAAAAGTAAACTACTGATATGTCCGAGTGAAGTCTTAGTCCGAGTGAAGTCCTTGCATGAAACATAATCTCATATAACTGAATTCATACCTTTTCGTGTGTGAAGTTGCTGATAAATAAATGGGTGGCCGAGTGGGCTAACAGACGCCAACTCGAAGCACGTGGAGCGAAAACTCGCGCTGCAGAACCCAGGGATCCTGGGTTCGAGCCCCAGCCCTGCCCGTTTCGATCTGGATGAGCATCGTACCGGTGTGCGGTCGTATATCACTTCTGCGTGGTGCACGTTAAAGACCCCAGTCTGCACTGGCTAAATTTCTCATCCACAGCTCAGGCACCAGAACCGGCTTGCTAGAACAGCGTCTCAGCTGAAACAGGGCGAAGGAAAGCACTGCAAAGGCTGGGGCGCTGAAGCGTCTTGAGGCGCGGTTTGAGACCCCCTCAGCTCGTGCGCCGGCTTTGGCAGTGCTTTCTTTCCTCAGGCTGAGTTGAGACGCTGTTTCTAGCAAGCCGGCCCACACACCCTTTGGGGTTGACTGACTTCCGGCTGCCGCCCATAGACACACACAACAATTATTATTGATAAAAACTAATATTCTAAATGATGAGCGTCAAAGACAATATTTACTTTTGTAGCTCACACGGTGTCAAAAATAATCAATTGTTTGCGTACATGGCATCGCTTCCTGTAGTTCCTGTTAGCAGAGCATTTATCTGCAAGAACGGCGGTAATGTTTTTTTTGTTTGTTTCTTTAGATATATATTCCATCAGTGACTTGAGTCGAACTTTGTGCTATTCAATCGGTTTTCGAATTTTTCTTACACTATCGTGTAATTTAGCGGTACTAATTCAGCTCTTTTCAGCGACTCCGAATTTCAGTGTGAGAATATTTGAATTCACCACAGAGGTTCATCCTCTCTGTAATATATCCCTTCATTTAGATTGGGTTTGTAATATTTGGGAATTTAATTGCGAGCAAGAAGTCTTATAACCGTCTTTAGTGGAGCTAAACTCATTTTCACGTCAAGAAAGAATGAAGTTTTGCACATTGTTCATACGCCTCGCGAAGTCGTTCTTGCAAGAGTTGAATGTCGGAGGAAGAAGCGATGCTTTTGGCGTTTTAAGCGTGTGCGTCTTGGCAAGATAACAGACATCTATTCTAAAATGCACCTACTGGTATCTTGTTTCTCTGCATAAAGAGAAAAATTTGTAATGCTCCGTGAGAAGCTGTACTTTTTTACTCTACGGTTCTTTTGATGAAAACTGACGAGCAGGTTGTTTACCGCGTTGTTGATGTTGCTAGCTTGGATAATTCAACAATACACGGATGTAAGGAATGAACGTGCAGCTGTTTTCCAGTTGCAAGAGTTCATTTAGAGGTTATAGTTCTTTTTTTTTTGTAGTTGTTATTTGTATTGTGTTAAGTGAACGCACACAACGCTCAGAAATACACGGAAATAAGGAATGGGCGTTTACACCGCAGCTGGTGATCTATGATGTAGTTATAACCTTTTCTTTTTAACATTTTCTACGGTTGCAACCCAGATTAGGAGTAAACGAACATGGAAACGTCTTTTAAAAAAAAACGGCAATTATATTAATGCTAAAAGTGTACGAAGTTGATAAAGTGGCTCAGAGCTGTTCGTGGTAGTGTTTTCATAGTGATCACGCGTAGTAACCCGACTTGATCATTATTTTACTCGTTAACAGGAGGTCATCTTAACGGAAGAATACCACTCTAAACTATTGTTTTTACAGGTGTAAAAAAAAGTGTGACTATATACATAAAAGCCATCCCCTCTTCCCGAGGTGTAATACAAAATGAGATTTGCTGGATAAATTAGCAACACTTTGCGTTCGCGTTTTATTTTTTCAGACTCTCAGGCAGATTGGGGAGGATGAATACCGTTTAATGTACTGCTCATCCCAATATGACGGACGCCTAGGCGGCGTTGCTAGATACGTTAGTTTGAGCTCACGTGAACACAATAAAACGTTACGAACTGCAAAGATCAGGTTCATGTATGGCGACCCGTGTTCGGCCTTCTTGTAAGTATCTCAAGTTTTTATTATCAAAATTAAAAAAAAATAATAACATACCTTGGGAATTTTTTTACACTCCCGCTACTTCTGAATTTATCCAGTTTAGCAGTGACACAACGCGCTACCGCGCAACCATCTCCAAAAAATGAAACAAACATCATCCGCTTCAGCAACGCTGACTTGTGCAACCAAGGTAAGCATGCATTGACCCTAACAGGTGCTACATAGACATGAATGCGATCGTAGCGGATCGAATCGAGCAGGGACCAATCGCACTCAATCTGTGTTTCTTCTTCTTCCTCTTCTACCCTCTTGCTACAAATAAACAAAGATAGTCAAACCTTGATCCGATGCGCTACAATCGCTTCCATATAAATGCAGCCAAGGAACTTTTCTTGGGAGAGTCAGAATACCAGCTGGCGTTTCTGAAGAAGAGAAGTACTCTAACAGGAGTTATCGGTGCCTTCCTTGGCTGTCTCTTTACGAGATCCATCTACTTTGGTAGTTTGTAGGATGGCGCTTAATAAGCGCTGGGCGTGGCGAAGCTCGAGCATTTAATTGTCACTACGCAGCCTATGAGATTAAGAGACAAGCCGCTAAGAAGGCCGAAGAACCAATCGGGAAGCAAGAAGAGTTAAGCCACGACCCGCGTGACTTCACCTGTGAGTGTAGAGGACAAAAAACACTGCTTACATGGTTGACTTCCTATCATTCACATTTCTGTGGATTCACCTCACACGTGAACTTATTCAAGCGCTGGTATTTTATTTTACGCAGGTTACACGCGAACAAATAGACATATGTATTGTGGATGTGTTACTGATGTGCTCGCAATATACATATAGTGCAAGATGAATTTCTGCTGCTGTGATTACACTAGACATATAATGCACCACTAAAACAAAAACAAAGATTGAATTGTTAGGCAATTGTGTTGCATATGTGAAACTTCCTAGCATCACGTAAACCTTTAGCGATATTCTGAGTTTCCAAACGCCAGAGGCCTTCGTTCATGGCGCTCTTCGTCAGATGTCTTGACGCGTACCATGTTGAATACCTTTGGAATAGCACGCTTACCCGATTTTTAACAGGGAGAGAAGAAGAAACGTTTTTTGTCACGACAAACGGGACAAGAGAGACTGACGAATTCGAGGCTTAATGGTTACCACGGGCCCTCTATCGATCTCTATGCCTTCGTGTAATTATTGCAGATAAGATTTTTCTTATCTTTCTCAATTACGATCTTATACAAATATTTGGTGCCGGGCCCACAAATTTCGTAAGGAACTCACGGTGCGCTTCTATAGATAAACAAGGTTTTATACATATTCGAAAGAAAAATCGGAGAGGAAGGACGAAGGTCTCTTCATTCTTCAATGATTTATATACAGTATTTAGACTATCGTTGCGTTCCACGTTGTCGGAGCCCCCCTCCTCACTTATTCTTCATCGCCTTCTCACCACTCGATTTCCTTCTCTTTTTCAACACAGGGAAGGAAATTCCTACAATCTTGCCCCGCGAAAATTGCCCAAGATCTTTTCATGTCCATGATAGTGTGTTGCGTGCTTCTCGTTTGTCAATTTCATAAGGTTTTGCTGAGGCTGCGAATCTGTGATCACGTTTCCGTTCCGTTCATCAGGCGTGACTTTTTTTGTCTTCCTGTCGTTCGGCGGAACAGAATTGACGTTCCAGATAAAGAAAGCACCGAAATCTTCTTGTGCGTTTTGTAAACAGGTCTTGCAGGCTCAGATACATCGGAAGGCCTTCTATGGAGCGAGGACGCCTTGGAAAGAAAGCGCGTCTGGTGCCTTTAGGTAGTTTTCCTTTTCCGTTTTCTACGTTCTGTCTTTCGTTGATGTGCCCTGATCGTTCTTAGCAGATATTTTTGGTTCTGTGGTTTGCTGCTTTGCGCGTTTTTCCTATATTTCATGTATACGTTGTGGTGCTGCTTCTCAGTCTTTGTCGAAATCCTTATTACACGTTTCTTTTTTCGTTCGTTGTAAACTTTGAACCTGCTTGACTTCTTTTGTTTCTGCTTAGCTTTTTCGCTGTTGAATCTGTTATCATAATCAAGATGAACTTCCCATTGTGGCAGCTTTTGATAAGCTCTATCATGACACAAGGCTGCTTATTTGTGCTTGGGGCCAAGGTGTTTGGTTACTGGTTCAGTATTGTGGCTGTGCGCCTCTTTTAAATTCAAATTTAACTTCGGCGATTTTGATTCGTCGTTAAAGTTGTGAGGTTCGAGTTGCTTGCTGTTCGAGTAAAGCTCGGAAGGGGTACATGCCCTTGTTTACGATGATTATGCACAACCACCGCGATTTCTGCGTTTTCGTTGTCGTTTTTCGATAGGATCGCTCCATGTCCTAATTTCTTCATGGCAAACACAGCGTTGATACCTGAAGCAGGTGTCTTCCCATGCTGAGGTACGTCGTCTCGCTCTCGGTATTTCTGTCTGGGTCTTGTTTGCCCCATATCGTCGATGGTTTGCGTGACCCTCAAAGACGTTTGATGAGTTCTTTTCTTGCATTTTTTTCTTTTCTTGGTTCAGAGATTTAGTCTGATGAGATAGATGGGCACGCTGTCACTGTACTCGAGGCTACGTGTATATTCCTCCTCAAGGTCCTCGTCCTGAACTAAAAGTTCTATCTCTGTGTCTAAAATGGGCAGCCGACGCCGTATGGAGTCCAAATGCTCAGTCATTTCACTCAGTTCTGTGATTAGCGTTCAATCCCAAAAATTTGGAATCTATGTAATCTAAAGCGTTCGTCGCTTCGTTTCTGAGCGCAGTCTTCTTTTGACGTTTCATTCTCTGTTAAATGTCAACATTATGTTCTGTTAAAGCTTTTCTCAGTGTTAAGTGAAGTGTTGCGTTAATGTTGTTTGTCGTTGCTATAGGTTCATCAAGAGGTTAGTTGTTAAAGATTGCTCTTGCCTGTGAAAGGTTCGTAAATTTCCGTTAGGTCGCTTGGTGATCACCGGCTGATCGGTCCAATAATCAAAACCTGCTTCAGTGAGTTCATCCCGGGTTTCGGCACCAAGTTTTGTAACAGACTGTTCGCGAGTTTTTATAAATAAACAAGGGGCTTTATATACAGTATTTATATTATCGTTGCGTTCCACGTTGCCCCAAGCCTCCATCTTCACTTCTTCTTCATCATGTCCTCAGCACTGAAGTTCCTTCTCTTTCTCATCACAGGGAAGAAAATTTCAACGTAATATATGTGCACACTTAATAGTTATTCCTAATATAAACCGATACTACCATTATTTGGGGTGATAAACCCGTCGATTTTTCAGAGCATTCTAGACTTTTGAGCTCCTCTCCATCAGTGCGCAAATGTGGTATCAATTAGCATATCCCAATTACCTCTTTAATAACCCAAGAAATTTGATTGAAACGTCATTGCCGTCAATTATTTTAGCATCGCAGCAATCCTTATTTTGCCCTCGCTAACGACTCTGTATTGTTATGAAAGACATTCTGTTTATTTTATGTGTTTTGTGTAGTTTTACTTTCAGCACTGTATTGAAGTGGATAACGTCTGATACATGAAAAACAATTTATTTGATTTGGAAACGGGGGAATCGGTGGCCGAGTGTGTAAGCTCGCGCTGTAGTTATTTTATTTGGAAACAGGGGGTGATCGGTGGACTAGTATGTTAAGGGAGGACACTACCTTCAGTTTGCTTTTTTATGTCACATTTTTAACACGCAGCTTTATCAGCTTTCAAATGTTCTGATAAAAGCTCTCAGAAAGTTTCACTCCTGTAGCTATGGTAGTTTATCTTGAGTAAATTGTTTCTGACGTGCCGGAACCATCTCAACTTCAGTATTCTGAACTTTCCATACCGTTCATTTCAGTTTCGCTTGTTTGCATCAAGCTTTGGTTCAGGAAAACAATCCTTTCACAATTATTTGATGTGTGGAGCTCGATTTCTAAATTTCTATACTGACATTTTGTAAGAAAGGCGATTGTGACCTTATTTTATGCATTTCCATAGCCTTTTGTTATGAAATACTTAATCCAGTGCACGGAAAAAAAAAAAACTTTTTTTAGCTTTTTTGTTTTATTTTAAAAAAGAATAAATTCTCCCTAGTTGCTTTCCTCAGTACGTTACCCGAGTGTTTTAGTGTATGTTTCACCAAAAAAAATGGCCATTATTATTACCTTTTCTAAACGATAGGTTTCCTCAGTGGGCGCGTGCCTATTTGATGTACTTTTATGTAACTCTTTGAAGGATAAACTTATGAGCTTAAAACTTTGTATGCCACCCTTTTTCCCTGCTGTGAATGTGCCCCGAAATGTTTATACAAATAAGACTAATGGTTAAAAAGCACACTTTGAGCAGTGTCAACACTTTAACGTACTGCTGTTCAGAGCTCGCGGAGCGAAGGCTCATACTGCAGACCACAGGGATTTCCACACCCCTGCTCATTTCTATCTGAGTAAGTACCGTACAGGTGTGCGGTCGTGTTTCACTACTGCGTGGCGCACGCTAAAGATCCCAGGCTAGCAGTGCTGCTGCACTTTGTAAATTTCTCCTCTTCGACAAAGACACCAGACGCCCACTAGGGCGGACTAACTTCCGGTTTTCTAAACAAATACACAATTGGTTGGAAGCACTAAAAAAAGTATAACATGAGCGAGTGATCTTGGTGCAGGCGCGTTGGTGCTGCGTCCCGAAAGCGAACCATACTTCTGTATTAGATAGACACCCGCGCTTTCCGGCCGCTGGATGGATGGGCGGATAGATATTAACGGCTGCTCTTTATAACCGGCGCTAGCTAGTGCCACCTAGCCTAAAATCTAAAGTTCCGAAATCCACACTGGTTGCCAGCCTCCGGAGGCTTAGCCCAAATTAAACTGGTTTGACGTAAACAGTGTCTTTTGTTTTTGGGGACAAGTGACTTAACTTGCTCAGAGCTTTAGGGGGAAGCAATCATATTTACATAGGTCAAACAAAGTATATTCACGCTCTTGGTTTGATTTTCCAGCAACGTCATTTTTATTGCAGCTACAACACTTTCCTTAAAAGTTTGCATAGGTGAAATCATAAGCTCTTAGACTTTCACCTATGCAAACTTTTCTAAAGAACTTAAAAATGTACAATACCGGTGGCGGTATCTCGGCTCAAATATGCTATCGTGATCTAATGCCATAGCCTGTTCAATTTGTTTGTTTTATATGCTCTTCATGGATGTCGCATGCCGAACTTTTTAAGATGTTTAGATGTTTCTGTGGACATCTTAATTTTTTGTGAACGTTTTTATTGTCTCACATAGGTACTGGCAGTTTATTTGCTGAATACGAGGTCCTCTACTCGAATTATGAAAGCTGCCTTGTATTGAAGCTCTTGAGCACCGAAGAGAAACGTAAGAGCTCACGAACTTTTTTGTTTAATGAGAACCAGTTATCCTTTTAGGAAATCTTGATTGAACAGTATGATTCACGCATATCCGTAACTCTATAATGTGTTAAGAATTCGTTTTTTTTTCATAATAATGGCCAATAGCCCTAAATTAAAAGCCAACACTTCTGGCTTATGGCCCTCAACGAAATTTACACCTTAATGTGAAAGTCGAACTTTTTTTTTCTATCTAGAATGTAAGAAAACTCGGGACATTCTACTTTCCTAATCTACTCACCAGCAGAGCTTGGAAAGCGACTGACCAGTTAGTTGATCCACTTTCACAATTGCGGGGAAGCATCCACATGTAAAAAATACGTTTAAGTGTGCAATTGTAAAGGTCAGCAGATCTATTCCTAAGTCAAATATAAAGCCGCATTGTAAAAGTTTAGAATCCTAAAGTCACAAAACTTGTAAGCTGTTTAGGTTTAACGTACTGCACCAAAAACGTGTCAATGTACTGCCTACAGCATACTCTATCTTGTTTGTGTGTGTGTTTTTTGCCTAGTACTGACTATCTTGAATAAACAATTTAACTGAACATTATGTTTGAGGGTCTGATTGGTTTATAAAAAAAATATAGATATATAATTTTTCGTTTTCATCGTCTTATCGTTGTCTCTCAAAAGTAGATATTCAAGATATGTTGATGAATCGTACATTCGAGAACGAATAATGCTTAGATGGCAACCGAACAACAAAATTTGGCAGCTTTTTTTATCTTTATTCCCATTTGGTCAGTACGGTTGTTCTATGGGCATATTCTGACTAGTAGATAAAAACATGCTTATATTTATATTTATTTTCATTATATCAACCAGGCATCACGTATAATGCGGTGCAGATGTATCTTCACGGACGGTATTTCAAGCGTGCTAAAATCATCTTACGCGCGATAAAAATTTGCATTTCAGGTTGTGAACTGTGGGTGAAAGAAGGATTCGAAGTTCACTTTGAAAATGAACCTTATGAAGAGGATAGTGATGCCAAGGAAGATGAAGTGGGCGGTGAAGACAATGCTGAGAGCAGGATCCAAAGAGTTAAGAAAGGTGGACTGGGACATTGCGTTCATGCGTACACCGAAAATTGCGGACGTATGCAGTACAAGATTTATGAGAAAGAAATGTGTAGCTTGTCATCAATAGCGAAGGAGGCAAACGGACAAACCACGTTTTGAAGAGTGGGTTGAGTACTACGCCATGCTTCAGGTTGATCTCGCTTCTGTTTCACGGTGGTATTCTGAGCAACAAAGCCACACAATAAAGTGAATAATTGAGAGAAAGATTATAATACACTCAAAAACCAAAAAAAAACAAAAAAACCTCTACTTTGAGGGCGAAGTATTTGTTGCACTACACTTTAAAAAAAGCCCGTGCGTCTTCTTTCCCGCACAACACTCGCAGAGCCAATCACCGCAACTTACGGAGGCAGCTCAGCAAATGTCGATGCCGAAACATATGTTTAAACCAAAATAACGCACACTGAGTTGTGACAGTAAGCAATGCAAAACGTCACACCTGCATTGCTTAATGTCGCAACTCAGACTGCGTTTTTGGTTTAACATGTGTCTGTTTTGGCATCGTCATTCGCTGAGCTGCCTCCATAAGCTGCGGTGATTGGCAACCCGAGCATTGCGCGGAAAAGTAGACGCACCGGCTCTTTTTAGAGTGTGTGCATTATAGTGTCGTTTAACTAGTTACTCTTTGAAAACGTACGACCTTTTTAATTTTGCTCCATAAGAACCCCTCCTCTCTTCTTGAGTTTCAACGAGTGTGTTGGTGCCAAAAATTAGGATATGAACGCTTCTTCATGTGTTTGTCCGTGTGTATTGCACTTTCAATTCTGCTTTTTTTTTTTACGAATGTCTGTTTGTAATAGCTTGTAGCTCTTTACCTAAAGATTATTTTAAAGATTAAATTACCTAAAGATTATTTTTTTAAGTTAAATATTATAAATTCTAAAAGCGTGTCCTCACTCCGAGTTGAAGTTAGGTTGACAGGGCAATGTTCATGGTGGAAAGCCGCAATAAAATGCAAGCGCAATCGGCAAGCGCCGACCCCTGCCCAGGGTGTCGAACCGAACCCGAACCCACACCGAAAACAGGAGCACGAGCGTTATTTTTGATTGAACCGAAACAAAATCGAAACAAAAATTGAACACCTGATATTGAATTCGGACCGAAAGAAAGCCATAGTCTCATGTGGCGGTTATCGTTTGATGGGTCGCTCAATAATACTGCCACACAATAGGTCTCCGCCTGGTCCGCCCTCCCAAGAAGTCACACGTTAGAGGAGATGTGAGAAAGCACTTTACTGTTCCTTGACTCTTGACCGCGTCTTCCCCGGGGCTGGCTCAATCTTGTGGTACGCCGAGTCGCTCAGGAATGTCGCGGCCGTCTTCCCCGGGGCTGGCTCGCTCCTGTGTTTCGCCGAGTCGTCAGGGCTTGTTGCGTTGTCGCCGTTCCAACTCGCTCCTTCTCCCGGACTCCACGCGCGCCGGTCTTGAGCGCCGCTCGGCCACCTATAGCGTGTACCCCCCCCCCCCCCCCACACACACACACACACTCAAGGCCCGGTCTTCGGGAGGCCTCGGGTGCTCGGGGACTCACGGGTCTTGCCGAGTAGTTGCTCCACCTCGGCCATAATGTGGTCGTCGGTAGCCGAGCTGGGTGGAACTTTTTAGCCCCCCTCGTCCATAATGTCGTCGAAAGTCGAGGGGGACGGAAGGGGAAGCTGGACGACATCGGCCCCATGACTTGGGCTGGAAGAGGTGGAAGCGGCCGATGTAGTAGGGGCCGTCGTGGCTGCGGGTTTGAAGGCGGCGGCCGCGGTAACTGGTGAGGCGGCAGAGTACTTGGGAAGCCAGACTGGCTGGACGGGGGCCAAGGCAGCGGAAGCCAGAAGGTCCGGGAGGCTGCACCACTGCCACTACGTTGTCAGGGAGGAGGCGTGCCTCCAGCAGGTCGAGGTGGAGTTGACCTGCCTCGTGGGTTTCTAGGTGTGTGATTGGCACCCCGCACAGCCAGCAAGCGTCCGGCATTCCCAAGATGCGTGGCACCAACGGCCGCGTGTGGCCATGGAACGGGTATGGGACTTCGTGGTTTGGCTGGCCGGGCGTTGGCCTTGGTTCATTTTTCCAACGCCGGCGAGAGACGTAGTGGATGGCCACTCCTTCCCCGGGACGCCGTCCCCGTGGCCACGGTGTGGCAGGGGGACCTACTCCAGGTAGGTGCCGCCATCGCAGACGGACCTGTCCGGTACCGCGATGTTGATGTGGACGTGCTCGCCCCGTGCCGCAATGTTGTTGCGGACGGGGTTGTCCTGTGCCACTAAGGCGTTACTGCTGTCGGGCTCGCGGTGCCTGCGGAGCCCATACGGCGTTGCCAAGTTCCACCGTTCGGCTTTTCCCGGTGCTGTCGCCTCCGTGATCGGCCACCATGAGGGTCTGGTCGACCGGACCAGCGCCTTCCACCTGCGGGCCCTGCCCCGTCCGGTGGACCTCCTGGGTAACGCCCTCTGGGACGGCTTCTTTAGGGAGGCACCTAGTACAGCAAGATCCCTGTTAGGACACCTGAAAATTATTAATTTCTGCCGCCGAATGTGGCGGCGGTGGTAACCTTCATTAATCATCTTCCCCATCGCGACGGTAGTACACCTTCAAGTCCGCGATGTGAACTGGACCAGACTCCACGTTTTTATCACGTCGAGCGAGTTTATAAGTAAGCCGCGACATTCCCGTCTTTACCTTATAGGCCCCTTCCCATCTCTGAGCAAGCGATGCAGCGAAACCACTAGCTGCGTTACTCAGAAAGTGGGTTCTTCTCAGAACCAAATCACCAACTTTGTATTCCAAGTGCCTATCGCTTTTGTCACAATGCGCCGCTTGCTCGATCCTTGCGGCATCGAGGTTCTTTCTAGCATCGTGAAGCGCCCCAGACAAGCGGTTCGTTAGCTCTTCCGCGTACCTAGAAAGCGGGCGTCCTGGTGTTCCTAGGTTGCTCCGTTCTCCAGCGGAGATGGTATCTCTTTGCCCAGGTTCACAAACGCTGGCGTGAAACCAGTCGATCTGTTAACGGTATTCCGAATGGCAAAACCCATCTCGGCGATGTGCTTATCCCAGTCTCGGTGTGACTCCGTTAGCGCGATTAGTATGCACTTGACATTCCGATTCATTCTCTCAGCGATAATAGCAAGTTTTAGAATAGGGGGCCCCAAAGCTTTGGGTGCCCCAAACAGCTCGGGGAATCGCAGTGGGCATGCGCAGAAGTTCTGCGCATGCGCAGTGAGACGCCCCAAGCTGTTTGGGGCATGCCCAAAACTGTGGGGTCCCCTATTCTAAAACTCGCTATTGGCTTGGGGATGGTACGGTGTTGTCCTCTTGTGCTTTGAACATGGTTAAAATCGCGCACAAAGAGACGAGGACAAACGAGGAAGACCAACTCGCCCAACTTACTACTCTTCTACTCTTGTGCTTTATGTTCAGCGCCAAGCACGAATCCACGAACACTTTACTAGTAAAATAACTAGCGTTATCACTAATGACACGAGTATGGTCCTGCTCATGAAAGCTCGGCGTGAAAGAAACGGTAGTTCACTATTGGGGAGGAAGTCGAACAGTCACGCCTTTAGCGGCACGCTCCAGTGGTGGGTGAAACAACCTAAATGTTCTTGTTTGTTTTTGATCGGAGAAATCGAAGATGACGATCTGAAGGCCGCTCCTCGTGCGACCAAAGCACCGGTCAAAGCGAAGCGCCCATGCCGAGACCGCGTTAGGCGAGTTTCAATTTCTTTGTTATCCTGTGTTAGTAAACACCAGACTGTGGGGAGAAAAAGTAAAGCCCTTCTATCCTAAAAAAAGTGGCGCCATTCATTTTTGTAAAAATGGTCGAGGCACGTGCCGCGCGCCACTTCTGGGAAATTCATGGCGTCTGAAATCTAGCTCAGTCTTGCGCTGTGCCGCCATGATCTTCCCAAAGGCTGCATGTTGCACGTGCCTCGTGGATCGACGCACCTTGCACTATTTTTGAAACATGAAGGGGCTTTAACAAGAAGCTCAATAGAGTGACCCCTATAGTTTGATCTTCTGCCCAATAGCAACGGAGTGTTAGGCTCGTGCATGGGGCGTTTACCGATGTCCTCGCACGAGGTCGTGTGTCCTCGTTCCCGCATATTCGCTCACAAATCTTCAGTACACCTCACGCGCAGAAAGGTCGGGTTGGATGAAATGCAGGATAGATGTGCATGACAGATCGGGGCGTGCTAGGCGAGGTCTGACACAAGCGTTTTGAGAGGGAGCCAGAGGAGTACCGGAAACTGCAGCGCATCAGCCTGGTACAGCTTTTGCAGCTCCCATCAGATCAAAAAAAGACTTTCAGCTTTTCCACTCTAGTGAAGAAGGAAGAGCAGCGAAGCTGTACTATGGTGGGAATGAAGTAATGGCCGGCCGCAAGTCGGAAAGCCAGAGTGGAAAGGCTAGAGACGTTGCCGCCATCTATGAGTGAAGGCGGCAACAAGACAACCGGCAAGCGGGTTGTCTGGTCGCCGCCGTTACTCATAGATGGCGGTAGCTGTCCAGAGTTTAGTGTCATAATTTGCTTGCTGAAGGACACGATACTGGGGAAACTAGCCCTTAAAGGGGCGGTGCAACGATATTCAATTGGGATGTTTCTGACTTCACACGAGCTTATTGGCACTAGTGGAGCTCAAGGATACTCGCACGCAGCGCCACTGGCGAAGAAACTCCTTTGTTGCGGTGTAATATTAAGGACGAAAGCGAGCGTTTTTATTCAATTTCTCCTTCGCGAAACTTGATAACGTAACTGGGGGATCGCGGTATCCCCCTATTGGAAAGACCAGTTTGAAAATTTAACTGGTCAGATTGGTATTTGGACTGGTCAAACTGGTATTTGAACTGGTCATACTGGTCTAACAGGAAATCAAACTGGTGCAACTGGTAGCCAGACTGGTCTAACTGGTAACCATATTGATGTTACTGGTCACCAGATTGCCTTGTAACTGGTCACCAGATTGCCTTCTAACTGGTCACCAGATGGGCCTGACTGGCCACCATATTGACCTAACTGGTCACCAGATTGGCCGAACTGGTCACTAGATTGGCCGAGCTGGTCAGTAGATTGCCGAACTGGTGCAACTGGTAACCAGATTGACCAAACTCGTCACCAGATTGGCCTATTTGGTCCAACCGGTTACCAGTTTGACCCCACTTTCTCACTTTATTTATTTGCTTTCTCACTTTGATTTATTGACTTTCAAATAAT